ATATCCTTCTATGAAGAAAGGATGTGTGAGAGTAGAAACAAAAAAGGGAGGGAATAATGGGAAGAGGAAGGGGAGGCCAAATATCAAGCAGACCAAGGACAAGGTGGTTAAAGAGGTTCCAATAATAGGGTCCAAGGAGGAGTGGGTAAATCAGAGGCCCAGAAGAAGGTGATGAACAGGAAGGTAGATATAGAGATAGAAATAAGACCAGACCAGGCCTGGCTGAAAAATTGAAAGCCAGAGCCTAAGGATGAAGAGTAGAAGACAATAAGAGAGGAAGCCTGGAGTTGAGAAGGGTGACAATATCATTAAATGTCTAACCAAGGGTAAAACCCACAGAAGATATGACGATGTAAAGTCTATTCTTTGATAGAATATGGACTGGCTGTAAGAGGCAGTCTGCCACCAGGATTTAAGCTCCTGACAAAGGATGTGAATGAGCTCAGAAGTGTATTGTTCATGCCAAAACAAAAAGGCCCCTGGAACAGGGGTCACAAGAATGGTTGGAGCAAGAAAATACTGTGGAATAGGCTAAGTGAAACATGAACAAGTAAATCATCAGTAGGGGGTAAAAATGGGTACATGCCTGAAGAAGAGTGAGAAGGTTGAGCACAATTATGTGGACTCTTGTCCAGAGTCTAAACATCACAAGTCCATTCCCAATTGAAAAATGTATATCAATCAGAGACAGGAGCATTGAAGAAGGGAGAGATTTGGTTTGAGAAGCAGTAAGGGAATTAGTAGTATGAGCAGAGTCCAGTCACTATAATAATTCCTTGAGGAAATGTTCACAAAAGAGAACAAAGGACACCATGAAATAAAACCTTGGGTCTACTGTAGGAGATACATGAGGGTATTCCCCAAAGAAATGAGGGGCCCTAGGGAACCCAGAGTCCCGAAAAGTGAAAGAACCTCTTATGCAAGGAGAGAATGAGAAATGTAAAACTTGGTGACCAGATATGCAATAACATACAGGCAGAGAAGGCAGGCTGAAGGTTGATGATACAAGAGAAGAAGAAAACACCAAAAAGTACCCAACACTGAGTGGAAGTGAGAGAGGATTTATATCCCCCCCAACCAAGTAGCCACCATAAAAGAAGGGAGATAGGAGAAGAGAAAACATCTGAGAATGTGCTAAGAGATATGGTGAAAGAAAAGGGATGCCAGTCCTAGGTCGTGAAAATCCTAACAATACCACTGAATACAAGAGGGGCTGACAGTGAGTCATAGGGAACAGCAAGGAATTGGATGATGCAAAACAGATGGGCATGACAGAAACAAAAAGGATGGCAGGCCAAGAGAGAACATAAGAAGATGTCTGACACATTGACTATGGCCTACCACAGACTGGGGGGAAAAGATCACAGAAAGGGTTGGAGGGAGGAGAAAAGGAAATTAGAAGAAAAGTGAACAGGAGCAAGAAAGAGACTAAGGTGGGGAAATGCAAAACGACTAGCAACAGAAATTAAGACTAATAGAAATGCACTTGTGACTATCATTGGAAAGAAGAGTGATTAACAAGCCTTCTGGTACAGGGAAGACAATAAAAAATCCTAGAATCTGGAATGAAAAAGTGGGAAGGAGACTGATATAGACAAGGAATAGGAGTAAAGGGTAAGGTTGAGAAAGAAAAAAAAAATCTGGGAAGGTAACGAGCATAAAAGTAATGTAACATCAGGCTAGGTCACCAGGAGGAATGGAACACTACTGAAGATATATGGATAACAAAAGGGAGCCAGATGAATAATAAGTACATAATAAGGAAGAGGTTCAGTAAAGAGGTATGTAACCCAACCCAATGAGTCCTGACAGCAGGGAAACTGAGTATAGAGCAGAAGAAGTGGAAGGGGCCAAACATAGAAGGGAATGAATGTTGAAGAAACCATCATATTAAGAAGTGCCTCAGATAAAAGTTGCAGTTAGGAGAGGGATTACAGAAAGATAGAGAAAAAGATGAAAAATGAGAAAACGGGGAACCAGAAAGTGAACAGAAGTTAAAAGATTCGATCCCTAAGCTGGCCAGATAGATACAAATGACACGAAATTGAGAAAAGTAATCATTTGTTTGTTTGTTAGAAGTTAAGCACAAAGCTACACAATGGGCTATCTGTGCTCTGCCCACCACGGTATCAAAACCCGGTTTCTAGTGATGTAAGTCCACAGACATACCACTGTGCCATTGGGGGGTAAAAAGTAAGGGAAGAAAGTCTACAAATCAGGACAAAAGGAATAATAAACGTGAGGAAAACGAGGCATTTGAGCATGAGAAAGGAGCGTTTGGATAATGGAAACAGTATAAACCTAGTAACAAGCAAGAAGAAATGACAAAATAAATCCAAGAATCATGGCTCAGAAAGAGAGAAAACGGAAAATAATAAATAACAGGCAAAAGAGATGGAAAGGAACATACCTAAAAAGGATTTGGTATGTTTTGAATTTTGCGCAAAGCTTTACGAGGGCTATCTGTACTAGCCATCCCTTATTTAGCAGTGTAAGACTAGAGGGAAGGAAGCTAGTCTGGGCTACTCTTTTACTACTGAATCGACAGTCACATTATAATGCCCCTATGGTTGAAACGGCAAGCATGTTTGGTGGGGTGGGGACTCAAACCTGTGATCCTCAGATTGCGAGTCAAGAGCCCTAACCACCTGGCCATGCCAGGTCCCCTAAAAAGGAAATTGAGAAAGAGATAGAAAGGTTAAGGTTGGTTCAAAAATGATAAAGTACTATCCAAAGCAAATCAGGTCAAGATTGCAGTCTAATAGATCATTCCCAACTGAGGAGAAGGAGTAGGAGGCCCAGTAAGCTTGTGGTAATCCACAAGTTGAACAATGGCTGCAACAACCCTGACAGTTAATGAGCTTCCAAAGCCACTGCAGAAATAAAGCTTGAGTGTGAACAATGTCCCATGCTCAAGAATAAGTAAAAATCACTTGCATTTGAGGATTCATGATAAAAAAATTACAGCTACAGAAAACGAAAATCAAAGTTTCGTTAATGATGTAAATCTCAATAAATTGAATATAGAATGAAGATTCCCACATGCACATGCATAGAGGGTGTTAGTATGCATTGAGGTGTATCACCCTTCTCTTGGTGAAGAGCTTTTTTACATGATGATATCATCGTTTATGTCAAAATTCACATCAAATCTTGTGAAATTAGATGGGACTTGCCTCAAGGATAGTGGCATGCAATCTCTTTGGCAGACATGTGAGGAATATAACTAGTCTGTGTGTAGGGGTGAGTTACCATCTCAGAATTTGAAATTTTGATCATGATATCTGTATTACATATTTCAAGATCATAACACTTTCTAAGCTGTTTTTTCCTGATCAAAGCTACAAAGATATTATGTTAAGAAAGTTTCAACTATTTATTTACAGCTCTTATTTTATTAAATCTGAGAATTAAACTATGAAAATACATAAAAAACAGAATACTAATATTGCTGTAATTACTGACTAATGGCTTTGTGATGTTACTGCATTCAATGCAACACAAAAACCATAACTTGTCAACTCATGTTTATCTTTCAAAAAATTACCTTTATTTTGAAATAACCCTAAAGTTTGGCTGTAATTTCAGGAGGGTAAGAAATCTATCACATAAATATCAAAATTCAAAGTGATGAACAAGGATTCCTAACTTGGTTATGAAAATGTGTCATTAGAAATATGAATTGATTAATATTTATAGAATAATGAAATATTCAAAATAGTACTATTTTTAACAGATCAAGCAAATTAACCATGCTGTAAGTTTTCAAGAACAAAAAGATGAACATACATTTTCGGCTAATACCTTCTGAATGATGCGTACTTCATCTGAATCCGTTTCTTTAATTAGTCCTTCTTGCATCCTAACATAAGAGATAACAGAAATTCTGATAATCTTAATATAAAAAAGTATTCTAAAACAGTAACAAAATTACAAACTCAGCATTCCAGAAGCATAAATGTTGTTTGTATACACTATCTTATTACAACACAAATTACTAATTACTTGATTCTCATGGTTAATATTTAAATCTTAAATGATCATTTAATAGTCTATAGGATTACCTAAATCCAAGTATCAATTAGCTATCTTTTTTCCCCCTATTTCTAGATACTGTTTTAAGCAATATTTTGAACGTTTGAATTCAAATGTTTGTTGGCTAGAGGGAGCTAGTTACTATGTCATGATTTAGAAGTTCTTCAGTAAAGTATTACCATGATAATAAAGTACTTTAATTAAAATTTCAATGTAACTCAGCAAAATCTTATGACATGCACAAAAAATGATGCCCATATGGAAAGAGTTTTAAAAGAACCACCTTAAGGGTACTAACTTTCTGACTGAGAAACACAACTATCAAGAATTGGTAGCTGCCTTATCCAACAAGTTTGGAGTGATACACTAAAAGTAGATATCCAGAGGATAGTTTCTGAATAGGGTAAGGTGGAAAGAAGAGACCTTAGCCAAAACTGTGGAAGATTTGGAAAAGTTTGCCTAATTACCTTTCCTGGATGCTCCATGTGCCTGCTTCCCAGTCTATTACCATGAAATATGTGGTACTACATGACAATTACTACATCAAAGGTTGAACTTCCAGTGGCAACAAGGAAAGCAGTCATTGTACCACCAAGAAGCAAAATACACATACCAGGCTTATTAGAAACGAATTTACATTTAGTAACTGGGGCATTTGTAAAACCAAATACTCCAGCATGTCTTGTGAGATTAATGGTTGGAACCACTCTCATGGATCTTAAGAATAAAGATGTCATCATCAGGCCAAAACACAACAAACCATAAAATTTGAGTAAATTCTGGATGGGACATAGGAAGATGTGAAGCTGCTATATAGGTAATACTCACATATCAAAGAACTTCAGTAGTCACCTTTAAGACAAGATACAGGAAGTCTGATATCAAATTTTTGCATAAGAACAGCTTGTAACTTCAATTACAAAAACTGTATGAATGGAGCTGTACAAGCTAATCAGTGATATAACTTACATAATTTGCTCACAGAATATCAAGGTTCTCTAGTGGAACCTCATGCCTTAGGCTAAACAAAACACTAAATATCTCATATGATTGTTACAAGAAATACAGCTCTAGTACAGCAGTTAGCTAGATGATTACCACATGCAAAGCAGGCTGAAGTTTTCAAAGAGATAGAAGCCATGCACGGAACAAGGAGTACAGAACCTAGTACTAGTCCATCGGCATTGTTTATTGTAGTTGTGAAGAAGAAGTGTGGATCCACAAGATTCTGTGTGGTTTACCAGAATGTGAATGAACTCACAAAGAAGGATGCCCACCCACTACCAAAGATTGACTCTGGTTTGGATGCTCTGTGTAGATCAGAATGATTTTCAACACTGAATATTAAGTGTAAATTAGCAAGTGTAAGTTGACAAAACAAAAAGAGAGAAGACAACCTCTATTTCAGTAAATGGATTGTGGCAATTTGATACTATATGGAACGTGTAACACACCTGCTACATCTCAAAAAGTAATGTAGTGTGATCTCTCTGAATTACCTTGGATGACATAATCACATGTGGGAAGACCATTGATATATGCTTATGACGGACAAAGGAAAGTTCTGGACTGGTTGAAGAAAGATAATGCTAGGTTGAATTGCATCAACAGACTAGTTTTCTGGGACACAGTCAGCAAAGATAAAGTATCTACAGACCCACTTAAGATTGAATCAGATCAGAATTGGCCAACATGAAGAAACTTGCACGCGTTAAGATGATTTCTTGGACTATACTCTTACTGTCATTATTTTATAAAATCATTCTCTTACATAGCTAACTCTATATACAGACTATTTGAAAAACAAGTTTTTGTTTACTACTGATGGTAAACAAACATTCACCAAAGTGAAAAAATAATTAATCACTACTCCTATACTAGCATACTAACTCTTGAAGATCCACTCATTTTAGACACAGATGCTAGTGAGTTTGCAGTGAGAACAGTCCTACTGTAGCAAGGCTGTGAATGCTATATAAAAGAGGTATTGTACAAATCAAGAAAGAAGTACTAAATACTGCTTGAGCCCCAAGTCATTTCCATCATTACTCGTATGGTCAAAAGTTTAATCTCTAAGCAGACCATGCAGCATTAAAGTGGCTGGTGAATTTTTGCAATTCGAAAGGCCAGACAGAATGATGGTTCCAGAAACATCAGGAGTATAGCTTTAATCTTGTGTATCATCCTGGACAGAACCATTGAAATGCTAATGTATTGTTCCAAAGACCATGTGTTAGTGAAAAATGTAAATACTGTGAAAAGAGGAAAACACAAGATAGTAACGGTGACCAACCTAAAGAACATAATAGTATAATCCAAGATACCACAAGAATTGCAAAAAAATGATGTGGTCCAACATTCAACTGAAAGATACACAGGCAAATAAAAGGAGTTTGAAACCAATTATTTAGTAGATTTCAACTGTACTGAAGCAGTTTTGATAATTCTTTAACCAGAACTGTAGGTGTCTGGATCAAAAGGAAAAGAAAAGCTATTAAGACCAGACTACGGGACCAATCAAACCAGAGGATCTAAAGCCCAAGAGTTCCACATATGAACCAATGGTCTGAACTGAAAATTAGAGGGTAGAAAATACAAATATACATGAATTGAATATTCCAATATGATATTAGAACCCTCAGGCATAACATAAATTAGTTCTAGATTGAAATAGAAAAAAAAGAAGAAAAATCAGACCAACAGAAGTTTTTCCAGAATTAGAGCTAACTGACAAATCCTATTCTTCAGATATGTATCATGAAAAAATGGGTTCCTCTATAACTAAGTGTCCCATAAGCACAAAACCTGATGTGTTAAGAATACAGTGAAGAGAAATTTCTGCACACAACAGGCAGAATAAATAAGGCCTAAAGAACAGTTGGGAAAATCTGGATATTGGTAGAAACATGTGCATTCTGAATGAAATTTAGTGAAATTAACCTCATGAATGTTAACAAATAAATCTGAATTATGGCAGGAAAACAGAGGTTATATAGGTCCTCCTAATGCAAGTGCACCAATTAAGTTATGTGGAAAGTGGGAGGGTAGAGAACTATGAGTAAGTTGACACATGCTTTACATTCAGCACTTTAGCCACATTTGTTGACAGCATACGAGAAACTCAAGAAGGCTTTTAGTACTTCAAGAGGTAATTGCAACACAGTCTTATCTCCTCTCACACACACTTATCTAAATCTCCTCTGCCCTCTAAGCATTGCTAAAAAATCTTCATGATCGCTCATCAGTCTAGTTAAATGAACCACCTAAACACAACATTAGTGTAGCCTATATAATGTGTAAAGTTTAGTATACTCTAATCCCTTATAGTGCTGGCACACAATGAGACACACATTAGGCATGCTGTTTGAGTACAAGAAGGGAAACAATATTTCTGTAGCCAGAAAGAATATCAAAGAAGTTTATGGAAATGTTCTGAACGTTCATAAGTGTTAATGATTGTTCAGCAAATTTCGTTCAGGTGACTTTAGCCTTAAAAACTGTGACGGCAGGGTCCGACATGTTAGAATTGATATTGATGCTCTGAAGATGCTTGTTGAGTCTAACCCAAGGCACACACTCGTGAAATGG